ACTGCAGGCGTCCATAATCAGGCAGGATCCTCCTGTAGTAGCAGGTGATAACCACAGAGGCTAGCAGTGGAAAAGCCTGACCAATTCACCCCATCCTGTTCTCCTGAGAGTTAACTAACAGTGTCTCAATCAGGAGGAAAAAGTCAAACATCATTCCACCTTCCATCTCCTGCCCTGCTCTCATCTCTATTTATGTTTGATTGTTGGTCAACTCAGGAAATCATAATCACTCTTCCAAACATTGTTGCAGGCCAGAAATTACAAATTTCCCAGTTTGGGTTTTACCTGCCCTTGCTCATCCTCTCCAGTGTGTTTTCTGCCAAGTAATGAGCAACCAGAAGTGAGAGGGTGAGGGTGAGTACTGCACTTCATAATCAACTGCAGTGTAAGGACTAACATCTAGTGTGCAAAAGCATCCTCTCTCTCATCCTTTTTGAGAATCGGTGATTTGTTCCTTAATTCCAGAAAAAATAAGAAATATTCTTCTACTTAAACACCTTGGAAGATGACCTCTAATTGAGGATAAACACTGAACCCCTTTTCTGACTGAGTCCCAATTTGCAAATGCGAGGCCCCAACCTGGCTCCAGCAGCCCCAGCCCTTGTTCCTCCCACTGGCTTGACAGCAAGCCTGTGCAAGCCTGTTGGTCAGCTACAGCTATCTGCAGTGCCCTCACGCCTCCCAGTCCTACTCATGACATAAGGTCTGCCATGTCCTTCTTTCCACCTAATCATTCCTCTTTTCTGCCTAGAGATCCCTACTAGTAAGACCCAAGTCAGAGGATGCTTCTGCCTGACCAATCCGAATGCATGGCTTCATCTGTAGCTCTACAATATTTTGCACACAATCTCTTGTCTAAAGCCCAAGTGTAGATATTATCATAGGTAGGAGGATAGTCAGTGAATGTGTGTTAGAAGAAAGGGTGAAAGAAAGCTAAATATAGCTAAACCCTGATTTGCCTTCTCTGGCTGCTAAGTAAAAGTAGGCCTGATTAAATTAGGCCTGATTCTCAGACAAATCTGAGAGGCCGAGCTTTCAGGACCAGGGGAGGGTGTACATACTGCTGCCCACTCCTGTCGCCCAGTGGTCACTCTGCCAGGTCTCCAAGGTGCACTTTTTCACTTGGTCCTTTCCTTCCTTCCTTCTTTCTGAGTGGAAATCAAAATACTTTCTGGAAAACTCAGAACATTTATGAATCTTTTCAGACTTTTTAAAAATTGATTCAACAGCAGGTTGGGTGAACTCAGCATGGAGTGTGGAAATGAATTTTTCATTTATTCTCTAGGAAGAGAGCTATTTTAAATTTGCCAGTATGATGTATATTTTCCTTCTTTCATAAATCAGCTCTCAGGAATTTCAGATCTATATATTGATCTGCATGGACCATGGTTCCTTAAGTCTTTGCTCCATTAATCAGCAAGTAATTTCCAGCAAAGGATGGTCACAGAGATTATTCAATCTAACTCTTCTAAAGTTGTTAGCAACAAGCCTGTTTTATGACCAGGCCAGAGGTCATTCTGAAGACTACCTGTGAAAATTCTATCTCCTCAGATCCAATCCGACACCAAGTAGCAACTGCCTTTCCTAGTGCCTCTATAAGAACTGAAAAGAAAGGAAAGCCCAACCTGGTGTTCCCAGCAGAAGGCCCTAGGAAGTTCTATGCATCAAACATGACAATGTCCTAACAAAACTGATCACCCAGGGAACCACAGTCTTGGCCCCAAAAGTCTGTGTAAAGACTGGCCCTGACTTGGAAATTGCAAGTTGTGGGAAAATCAACGAACTCCTTTTCTTCAGCACAGAATCTTCTACCTACATTCTTCACATAATCAGACTGCTTGAAATTGTACCAATTAGAGATTCATTTAGGAGATGGTAGCTATTAGTCATCCAGACATTGCTGTAATTTAGATTCATTCAATTGTTTTTCCCTTAACACATAACTACAGTCAATTCTTTTTCTCTTAACACAGAGCCACTAATAGGATTTGAAAAAAAGGAAGCAAATAGAAAGGAATAGGAAAAGTTGGCTTTGGAGACCAGTCATTCAGTAAGGAGAGGCAGGGCTGGGAATACCTCAGACAGCTAGCAGGAGAGCCCAGTGGCTGAGAGAAACAGGAAGAACTGCCAAGAGGTAAGAGTTTCACATAAGGAAGGTTAAAAAGCCCAGATGTAGTGGGAGTTAGCGGGGGAAGAAGCCCGTGAACTATGCTGGAGTACCTGCTGGAACAGATGCAGCAGGGCAAGTGTGTACTACAGCCCAGAACAGCCATTACACTAATAAAATGCATAGTCCCATATCTGAAATCACAGGACCAGATATGTTCCAGAATTCAGGAGTTTTATGTTTTAGAAACGCAATGTAGTGCAGCAGATACCATAAAATAGCTTTTATCAGTCAGAGCCAAATTCATATGAAACAAAATCTGTTGCTTTCTGGGTTTCCAAATTCAATATAAGAATGAGAAATAGCCCAAGGCTCTTCCACCACTCCGGGCACTCACAGGGCTCCCTGAGACCAAGCAAGGTGAGGTCTAGCCTCATGGAGGCTCTACGCCCTGTTTCAATCTCATTCTCAGGTGGGTGCCTGACCTGGCATTTGCCACTCAGTCCTCAGATAGCTAAGCTTTTCTGAACTTAGTGTAGGTGGGATTGGCTGGGGGTTTGTGACAGTGTCCACAATCCTAAGAAGCAGCTGCGGTGCTGAGGAAAAGCACTGGGCTTGTAGACTAAAGACTGGGTGTCCACTTTTTTCTGCCACTCACTAGCTCAGAAACCTGGGAAAATGCAATTAACCCCTTTACTGAGTTTGCTCAGTAAACTGAGCCTCAGTGTGTTAATCTGAAAAATGAGACTAGCAATGATAACTCATATGACTTTCACTGTGGTTAAAGTATTTGGGATTTAGGTGTTTACAGATTCTAAACTACCATTCATATATAAGCTACTAAGATTCCTATTACTGAAAGAATGAAACAAAGCAATGTAGTAAATGTGCTTTCTATAATACATACAAAAAAAAACAGCTGTGTTATTGTGAATATCCTACAGCAGAAGAGGATCTGGCTTCCCAGAGTTGAGAGGTAACTCACACCATATAGCCAAGAAGAGCCTTTTTTTTTTTAAGATTTATTTATTTATGCACACATGAGCCAGGGTCCTATTCTTTCAGCCACTCTGTCCAACATCCCATCTCCAGCCCCTCTCCCTGCTGTGACTGGTTCCATGGTACCAGAGAGAACCATTAAGAAAGGATTGAGAGCCTGCTGAGGGTCCTGCCTTGAAAAGGATAACAACAGGGGTTGATGGGGGAAGCAGCCCTCAAAGGCTGCAAACCAACCTGTGTCATAGCCCACTAAGATCCCTGCATCTCAGGGCAGGCAGTGCACTGGGCTCAGACATACCCAGACACTCTGGCTCCATCTCCTAAGGTATTCTTCTCACTTCTCTGAGCACTGATCCACAACTACACATGTAAAGTAATGATACCTACTTCAGCAGGTCATGGAGAGAAACTAATACTAATGAGAATACATGTGAAATCACATATATGCTTGGGAAAGCACAACTTAAATATGAAGTCATTTATTAATGGCCTAGGAGGTGGGGGGATACCTGGGTGGCTAGGAAGGAGCAGTTTTGTGGTAATGAGACTGAGCTACCAAAAAGTCTGGTTGAAAAAATCAGAACTGTCCTTGATGGGGCTGGGGCAAGCAGATGCAAAGATGGCGATCGGGCAGAGTTCCTTCTTGGGCCTGGACAGACCACTACAAGGTACTGTGGAGCATGAAAGAGTGCTTCCTGAGCCCGTTGAGCATCACCTGAGCTGTTGTCTGTGCCCTGTTCTGTTTTCCTTTGCTTTTCATCCTGGATTTTTCTCAATTTATAGATCTGACTTGTATGTGTGATCTGAACCCTGGAAAGTTAACAGCATGGCGTTTTTACAGGATTGATGTTGTGTGTTTTAACTGCAAGCAGCTGAAACCACAGCAAAGTTCTAAATGGAATATTCTGGGATGCTGCTGTTAGGGCGCACATGTGAAGGGGATGAGTTGATGACGCTGGGCCTTGCTGTGAGAGGGTCCTCACTCTCTCTGATGGGACCCAGTAGACTGGAATGGAATTTATGTGAACACGCAATCTGCTGTGAATGCACTTGAGCATCTCATTGCATTGTCTTACTCATATGTGACTGACTTTCCTTATAAACTAATTATTAAAAGAGGGGAAAAATAGAGAAAAATTTCCCAAGGTGCCTCCTTGTAGAGACAAAGTCATGAAATTTCAACATATGACAGTCTCTGTGGTGGTTTTAGTTTTTTTCTCCATTTTTTTCTTTACTCATTTTTAAACCCTGCTATTCTTATTGTCCTGATATAATACTATTTAATAGATGCAAAAAGGACATTTTCTTCAGAAACCAGTCACCAAAAATAAGAAACCAAGATTTTCTTTTCTCTTCCCTATTTGAGTCCCTGAATCACAGAGTAATTTGACAGGCAACTTTCACTATTAAAATAGGGATTAAACAATTTACTGCTCCTCTGAGTCTTAATTTGAGATTTCATGTGTTTATTATTGCATGACACGATTTGAACTGTAATTTATCCTTTAAAGATGATATCAGTGCAAACAGGCTGATATCAAAGTGCATAAACCACATCCATCCCTTAATGTCTCTTTATTCTACATAGAACTTCCTTCAAGGAAACAATTGTAATTATCACTGCTTAATATTAGTTTCATTACATAAACATACCTCTCTTTTATTACGGAATAATACTGGACTAATATTCTTGCTTTCGATATGCAGCCAAAACTTCTGACTAGGTAACAATAAGGTCTTCAAGTACCTGCTCCAGTTTAGAATTACCTTAGCAAATTTCCTCCTGCTGCAGAATTTCATTGTCAACATCTCTTAACATTTGAACTGAGGCCTTAGGGATGGTATTTGGCTTTCCGGAAGGGAAACAAATTAATGACTTGCATTGTCTCTCCAGACCCAGGGGGCAGGTTCCCCTCGCTCCTCCCCCAGCCACACCATCAGCAGGCCCATCCCCATGCCCGTGAGGTCTGCAGCGGCCTGCTCCACCCCGACTCACACGCCTCAGGATTCCCTCACAGGGGTCGGGGGAGATGTCCAAGAGGCATTTGCACAAAGTAAGTCGCTTTATTTTGGTTGTGTTTTGCTTTTACCTGGCAAGTAAGTCACCAAGGTCTACTGAGGGATCCAGTCATCAGAACCTCACCGTGGATATTCTACACCAGCACTCTGCCTGAGAGGTGGTTTACAGACTGCCACCAAACTGTCCTCCCTTCATGCTCTCACCTTCCTTTGACTTCTATTGGCAGCCCCCATTTGTGTGGGTCTTGGCTCAATAAGAGAAGGAAAATCATTTCACTAATATCCCAGGAAATTTTATAACTGTAAGCCATTGTTAAATTCTGAACAATCTTAGTCCCTGCTTTCTCCTGTTTACATTAAAACAAATGCAAGATTGAGAGTAAGCAATCCCAGCTCTTTAGTCATGAGGAGACCAAGAAGGATATGGAACCATGTTGCCAGTGTTCTTTGAGCTGACTCATTGCCTCTGTGAACTCCTTGGTAACAGAGGAACTCCAGAGATACCAAGGGGCAAATAGCACTTGCACACCGCTACCTTTTTCATTTTCACACTGCCAGGGGCTCCCAAGGCACATGGCTTTATTCATTTAGAAATATTTCCACACCTTTAAAACTTTCTTACTATCACTTTTTAAAATTAATAGAAAATTAGAAAAAGATTCTTCCTCACACACTCATCCCCAGTAAATGCTGTTAACAGTTTGATCCTTATCAACTTAAGTATCTATTTAAACATGTATATATGTACTCCTTTTTATAAACACATACTCTTACTTATACATAATTAATCAATTGCATTTTGGCCTGCAATTTGCATTTTTCTTTAAATTAGAAACCCATCATGAACATCCTTCCAGGGTCTCGGATACAAATCTAAGGAAAAGAGAAATATATGACTACAGATTTAAGTAAAATAAAAGTCAAAAGACAAAAAAAGAAAAGAACATGAGGAAATCATTTCCAAAATATGTGCAATCAGTTTTGTAACTCAGTTATGCATAAAATATTAGAAAGCAATAGGAAAGACATCCCTTAAACAAAAGTAGGTAAAGGGTATGGACAGAAGAAGAAATATAAGCTACTAATAAAACTATAAAAAGATGTTTAACATTACAAATAATTGTAGAATTGTAGCAATACAAATTTTAGTATTACCTTTTGCCTGATAGATTAAAAAAAAATTTTTTTAACATCAGAAATACTCAGGGATGGCAAGAGTGTACGAGAACAGACATTCTCATCCAGGTGTATGGGGAATAAAACCTCACTACATTTAAAGGAGAGGATGATATATTCACAAGGAAAAGGGGAAGATCCATAACACAGCTTTCTCTTTGAAAATAACTTCAAAAAAAGTTTTAAAGAAAAATGTCCTTTCCCTCAACAATGTTTTAAAGATATTTACAGCATTTTAAATCAATTTGAGCTTTCTGCTATATTTAGTGTTTTCAACTACCTTTTTAATTTTCATATCTCTATTATTTTACTTAACATGATTTTCTGAGAAACGACAGAATGAAAGATGGTTTGTAGGAAGCTCCCAAGTCATGAAGAGCTCATGCTATACAAATTTATCTGTAAATCATCTATTTAGAAACTACATGGAGACTAGTCTTCTGTGCAATATCTATCCCATTCCTATGTCAGTCTACAAATGTCCATTTATCCCTTAAAGTGCCTGAAATATCATTAAGAATCTTTCTCTACCATAGACAAGCATGGTCTACTCCAATTCAAGGTAAATAAATATCCTATAAGGTACTAATACAATAGCAACCCTCCATCTTTTGCCCATGTCTCAACAGCAAAGCAAGAATCTGCCCCCTTCCTGCTTTCTGGAGACCTTCTGTGCCCATGTTCCCCAATCCCTAGTGGTTTTATCAGGGAGAGAAAATTTCTCCCAATACCCTACTCCTCTTGATTCTTAATGGGTTTGTCAAACAATCAAATTTTTGATTAGTAGGAGAAAGATGAACACATTTTATTATTTACATATAGGGAAATCTACATAAACATGTCAATTCAAAAACAATGAAGCAAAATAGGGATATGTATCCTGAGCTAAGGGATGGGATAGGAACCTGGGACTTAAAAGAAAGAGAAGGGAGACTCATGAAGTAAAGGAGATTTGTATAGGAAGAGTAGTGCTCTATAATTAGTTGTTTGCCTGGCCATAGAGACAGGTTTTTCAGAAAGATTATTTCTGCTAATAACCATAATTATGGGTAATACCCCTAATTTCCATTCCTTCAGGTAGTTAAGGGAATGATAAAAGTTTCTTGTAAGCCTGCAGGGCCTCAACTGGCCTCAGTTCAAATTGACCCACATCTTGGGGAGTCCTATTCTGAAGACTGAGAATGCCTAGCCTTCAGTACCTACAATGGTAGAAGAGCATTGGAAACCCTTAGGGGGAACAGAGGCTGTGGGGATGGGAGTCAGAATCCCATGTAGCTTACCTACCAGGTAAGGGCCATAATGATAGTGGCAGCTAGGAAGGCACATTTCTGGAAAAACTAGACTTTTCATCTCTCTTTTTACAAAGGGTGGCCACACATATTTACCTGAGGCAATCCCAATTTGTGCCAGGTCACTCAATCTGATCAGTAATTCTGCTCTCTTTCACTTTCAAAATGGTCCCAATGAAGACAATAAATTATATGAGTCCCCATCAGTAGCCACATCTGCTTATACTTGAGGATACCGCCCTAAGCACACTTTATCTTTTCCTTCTTTTTGATTATTGCAAATACTTATTATTATATTTGCATAGCACCTTAGTAAACTTCAAGTAGACTCTATCAACTTCTAACATTTTTAAGGGTGTGATGTACAATGCTATTTCTTTTTATTATTAATAAGGTACCATTGGTTTACAACACCATATGATTTAGGGGAATAAGTTCACACTTCCTTAGAATTTTCCACCATCAAAGACTTTTTTTTTTTTTTTTTTCATAAAATGAACCAAAGCATTTCTGCAAATTAGAGATTTATAAGTATCCTTGTTTTAGATTAGGAATGATAAACAGCATAAAGTTTGGAAACAGGAAGTTTTTACTTTTTAATTATTATTTCTTCTTCACTTAAGGTTCAAGAAGAAATTTAAGGAATGACTTACTAGTTGCAGCAGATTCCATCACTAACACCATGTCCTCTCTCGTCAAAGAGCTGAATTCAGGTGTGTCCAGGGCCTCCTCTCATTTGTCTGCTCACCATTACAAAGGGACACAAGAATTCTGTTAGAGAAGAAGTCTGTTAGAGACCTGTTCATTATTGAGTATAAAAAGATTTTTTAAATATATATGTGATATTTTTATGATAAATTCAGATTTTTTTAGTGAGGTTTATATTTTGCTAGTTGTACTATGTACACGTGGTTAATGTAGAAAGTTTGAAAGTGAAGAAAATAATAAAGAAAACTATTAAAGTTGACTTATAATTCTATAACTCAAAGAATGCTACTCTTAATATATCTCATGGTCCAGAAACTTGAAAACATATTTCATAGGGTCAAACATTTTATTTACTAATTTAGACTCTGTTTGTTTAGAATGCATGACTACTTAAATATATATAAACTGGAATTTACCATATTTTCTGTGAAGAAAGATCTGTCTAAAAATAAGTAACAAGATAACAAGAAAGCAAGTCTATCCTGATAGTACTTCATACAGTTTTAAAAATTTTAATAGTACAGATATGCAAATAAATATCCTACATGTTACCAATGCATCTCATATATTCCTTAAAGTTCACCTAGCAAGACATTTGTCTGGCAAAAGTGTGAGCATGTTACTGATATTACAACTGCTTTAAGGAATAAATCTCCAATATTAAAACAAAAATAGGAATTTAAATATTTTAAACCTCTATAATAAGAATTAAAGTAATGAAAATTGTTGCTTCTATTTTAGATTAAGTTTACCCAATAGGATAAAAATGAAAGTAGTTAATACATTAATGGCATGTACCTACTGCCCTAGCAAATGATGACTAAAAGTGATTCCTAACCTGGAAGTCTCAGGTACTACCAGTTTTTACTCTTATAATGCCTTGAAATATTAAGCAAATGAATATTTATGTTCATATTTCCTAACTTAAAGTAATATAAGCAAAAGTAACAGTTCCAGTGTTCTCTTTTTTATAGAGAGTGAAAAAAAGAAGTGTTAAGGAGTTGTCAGTTATTAAGCCAAAAAAATTCTCCATAACAACACGGGCGGGGGGAATACTGTATAACAAATGACTTTATGGTAATTCTAATCAGTGTCAAATCCTATTTTGGAAAAGTAAACCCTGCTGACTTATGCCCAACAACTAACTGCTCAGTGCTTTATGTAGTGTCAGTCAACTTATGTCACATAAGCCTCACATTTGCTGTTCAAGAAACATCCAACAAGTCACTCTTTCTTTCAATTGTTCCTAATAGAGGTGGGAAGTGAAACCGAGAGTAACGTGGATTCTGAATTTACACGGACTCAGTTTGAGGATCTGGTTCCATCGCCAACCTCTGAAAAGGCTTTTCTAGCGCAAATCCATGCCCGAAAACCGGGATACATGCAGAGTGGCCCTGCCCCCAGCACCATGCGTGGTGAAGTGTGAGTAGCTTCTGCTTGGGGATATTTTCTCAAATAAAAAAAAAAAAAAAAAAAACAGAGGGGTCATAAGAAAGTGAAAGCATGTTTGCTTCATTTATTCTGAATAAGTATAATCTGTATCCATGTGACTTGCCCCCTCACAATTTTCAGATTATCAATAAATTAAACTAACCAATGCTCAGTGACTTGCCAAAGTACGGTGCTAGTTGTGTGCACAAAAGCATCAAAAAGCAGCTCCCAGCCTTCAGGTCCTCGTGGACTAGTTCAGGAGATAAGTCATTCTGTCTCCTGAGGACCCATCTGATTGGGTGTGAGCCCCTTGGAATTGAAATAAATGTATGAAAGCAAATTATAAAGAAATCTGATTTGGTTGATTGTGTTGACTATGTTTAAATCTGAACCTGAAAAATAAAAAAACTGTTTTGCAAAAGATTTCATCCAATTAGGCTTCTGTCATTTGGCAGAAACCAGCAGCATCAGTGACATCCTAGTAGATTTTCTAAAGGCCCAAAGGAGAAACTAGCCAGAGGTCTTTCTGGTGTTTTGGCTCTCAATCCAAATAGTGAGCGAAGACCATAGGAATGTATAAATATAAATAGACATGGTTTGAAATCATCTGTGAAAAAGCAGAGAGCATAAGATCAAAGCAAAAGTTAGAATGTAGTTTGCTACCACTTATAATTTTAGTTTGATTTCTTGTGTTTTCCTTTAGAATTTATAATTAAGTGATTTATGTTTCAGATCAGTGAATGCGTTGTGAGTTAATTGTCATCAATTCATCTGGTACAAATATTTATTTGATTTTTTATGATTAAACATTGACATGTTGGTTTCTTGGAAGTTTCTTGTTCTAACCCTAAATTCCCAGGTTACGGCTAGAGCTACCCACTCTGCCCTCCTTATATGCCAGGGCTAGCACCAGCTACCAACTTGCTGCAGGAATTGGGGAGAGGAAGTCTACCTCATGCTCACTGACTTACTTAGGCAGGACCCAGACCTCTAAAATTAGCCAGAGCATGTTGTAGATATATAAGCAAACATGAAAATGACATCTAAGTTCCAAACCAAAAATGTGTACTTGAAAACACTTTAATAACCATGCTGCCTAAACATGTACTGTGTGTAGCCTGAGAATATTTCAGTCATATGACTTAGAAAGTGAATTTGTGTTTAGTCCATGAGATTTATATTTACTGGGGTGGACACCTGGAGGTGGAGGCCACATAGTGAAAGAGGTCACTCTTCTCTGTCTGTTTCATAGTTAAACTGGACAATTTAAATGGATTTTTTAGATTCAGAGCTAGTATAAATTTTTAAGGTTAAGAGCTGTGGGTTAAGAGTATTAATGTTCCTGACATCAATTAGCTGATACTCTGAGACTTGCTTTTACTATAAAAATAAAGCATTCAGTTATGGGTATCTGTGGGCACAAGACAGGGATAAATTATATAAAAATGTCTGGATGGTTATTTCACTAAAATGATTATTTCACTAGAGGTCTCACTTTCCTTATAGAAAATGTTTTTGGTTTCCACTTAAAAAAAAAAAAAGTCCCAGATCCAGGCAACTATATTCTCTCAAAAGTCAAGGCTGCCTTTTTTTTAAGATTTAATATTTAAAAGGTAACCCTAGATGATCAGTGAGCACCAGCCATAGAAAAATTACTCATGGGAAAGGCTTGTCATATACTTCTCCACACTTACATTTTTTTAAGTTTTTTTGTTAGGTATAAGAAGACTGGATAGAAATAAAGGAGTGAATTGGAAGACAGTAAATGAGCCAAGGAAATACAGTTCACACATGAATTCCGCTCATACTTTCCTTTAAAGATTTGCTCCCAAACGACATCTGTGGTTTACTCCCAGGGTTACAGAAGATGGGGATCCCTACGTGCAGCCAGAGGAAGAGAACTATGAGGATGACTCGGTCAGGCAGCTGGAGAACGAGCTCAAGATGGAGGAATACCTGAAACAGAAGCTGCAGGATGAAGCCTACCAGGTACAGGAGCAGGCCCGGTGCCAGCCAACCACCCACCACTACTGCCTCTGCCCCCTGGTGGCTAGGTCCTTTACATTTCTCAAAGCATCAGTGTCCTCTCCTTCTCCCCACCCTCCTTTGCCAGGATATTCTAACTGTATTCCTTAAGCCAGGCTTTCTAGTAACAATTTTAAATTCATTAGAAGGTGTTGATCTGGAAAGTGAAAAGAGGCCTTGTTACATTAGGAAACCCAGGGACTCATTGACCATCTCTCTTTAGGATCATTAAGAAAGATGCTTTACTTGGAGATTAAAAAGAGAGAGAGACAGACAATAGCACAAGGCAATTTAATTAGCATAAATGTATCTCCTTGAATCATTTGGCATCAGTCTCCTCTTTCCACCTCATGGCAAATGTAAATAAGAAAAAGTAGGTGTAATAAACCTACCTGAGAAATGGTGGGGGGTTTGGACCCCACACCCTATGTTCAGCAGGGTGTACATGAACAGATTAGTATATTTACGGAGGGATAATCCATCTGAGAATTCACTGACATAACACATGCAGTTAGGAGTAAATGTAATTAGTAACTAGTCCTTAACTAGATGCATTTTCTGCAGAGATTATTCTACTCCCATGTTTATCCTCTTGTCTGTTTCTCTTTCTGTGTTTTATTGGGGTTCTGAGGGCACAGAGTTAACTACCAGATTGAGACCTAATACTTCCCAGGGCCCACTGAGTAATTTTATCATGTCAGACTTTCTGTCCAATTACCAGACAACTGTTCCCACATCCTCAGCAGTGGTCCTTAGTTGTTCTATTTGTGAAGGGAGTAGAAGCAGAGAGAATAAATTATCTTCACTTTTCATGTTTCAAGATTAACTTTTGAAAGATTTTCCGGAGGAGAATGTGGCAACAGGGAATTTGGAGCCCACCTGCCCCACCCCAACAACATAACAAAAGTTTGACCCCTGAATTTTCCATAAGGATTTTCCATTTAACAACCAATATTTCAGAAGCAATGGAAAATGTTGATCTAGTCATACAAGAATGAAAAACAACAACAAAAAGACAAGCTTTGATGCTCAGAACATCTCAGTTCTGAAGTGCAGACACAGGGAGCTCAATTTTCTTTGCACTTTCTATGGCCCATCCATATTTAGGTCCATAGAAAAAATAAGCCTGGATTGAAGCTGCCAGAATTTCTTGGAACAGCCGGAGGTGGTCTTCCTCCATGAATCCCCCATGACTCTGTTGATGGAGGGAAGGAAAGATGGAGTTGAGTAAGCAGTGCTCTGGTTCATGCTGTTAAGCCTCCCTCTGTGAGCTCCTATCAGTTTCTGGATTTTTGTGGCAACAGTAAATAAAATTCCAGTTTATTTTCTTTTTAAGGGAACCAGTCATTCCACTTGAAATGTTAGGTTTTTGGTTTCTTTTTTTTTAAGATTTATTTATACATATAAGAGCTAGTGTGTAGGCCAGAGGTATGGGGAGTAAGAGGATTCACCAGAGACAGTGGGGAGCAAAGCAGGTAAATCTACTGAAATGCACTGCTGAGGGGAGCAGTGGGCAAGACAGGAGGTCTGCTGCACCATGTGGGTCACTGCTTGGGCTGGGATCGAACTTGTTGCAGTGGCTGGTGATCGCTGATTTAATCCCTTGTGCCACCAGGGATTTTATTTAATTTAATGAATTTGGAATTTCACTTGCTATGAGTCAAATGAAAGGAAGTTCTATTAATAGCAAAAGATCCTATTGAAGTTTTTTCTACCTCTGGTAATCTTTAGTTCCCTCCTCTCCTTCTTCCGTGACCAGTGACTTCTAGGTAAAAATAAAGAAAAGGACTAGGACTAAATAATAGGCCTGTGTGTCCCCACTCAAGGGATATGTCCTGAGAAGATTGAAGTGGTTTTTCTTGAAAGCTCTATGAGCCTGTGGCTATTTGACGGATGAGACTGTACTTCCATCCATTAGACTCTCTTATTTTTCTGTCTTCTGCATGGCTTCCTACCACTCATTCACCAGCCTGACTGCATCACAGACTTGACATGTCACCTTTCTTGTTTGTGTCCTTTGTCACCCACAGGTCAGCTTGCAAGGTTGAATACAATATCCTTTTATCACTCTCCTCTCAAGTAAGTACCCTCTTATTTAAGAGGAAATGTGGCCACTGTACACTGAATTCTGATAACCTGATATCTAAATTCACAGTCACTCTCTCTTAGGTGTTTCTATGGGATGAAATTCCTTTCTTCCCTTCTGATATCAAAAAATCATTCTGGTTTATGATTCTTACATTCTAGCCCAGTGGGGATTTGGCAAACACTTCTGGGAGTGGAATTTTTACTCTATTAATTAGAAAAATTGGGACAGAAACTTCTATAGGGCTGGCAGTACCCCCAGAAATCTCCCATGGCTATGAAGTGACATCACCAGTCCAAGTAGCATCCAAGTTTGCAGCTTCCAGTACAAGAGAAGGAAATGTCCAAACTTTCTCAGCATTTCTGAATATGGGCTGACCCTGTAATCAGGGCAAAAGATTAAATATGTTTGCCTTAACAAGTAAAAGCACAAATCACATATTATTAAAGAAAGAAAAAATCAAAACATAGAGGAACACTTACTGCAGCCTTATATTTTTGGAATAACTGATTCAAATCCATTGTGAAATTCAGCAAGATATAAATTAATGTACTAAATCATATATGTGGCCCCTCAAGGATTTATATAAATAGGTGGGAAATTCCTAGTAATTTTTTTAATGTAGTGTTTGACTGACAGGATCACTAAAGCTTAGGCTCCCAACTCTAAATAGACTCCATTTTGAATAAGAGTTTCCCTAAATCCTAGCAGCATAAACCTGAACAAACTATTAAACTCTGTGAATCTCCATTCCCTCTGTAGAACAATTATTATAATACCTACCTCATAGAGAAGTTATCCTCACCTGGATATACTCTATAAAGGGCCCATAGTGGCAGACACGTTCTGGTTGTACTGTGGACACATACATGTCTGGCACTATGCTCAGTGCTTGACAACCAGCTCAAACCTGGGAGCTGCTATAAGTATTCTGTAAGTATATCAGAAGCCTTTGCCTCCTCTAAAACTCAGAACTAGCTTGCTCTATTTATTTTTAAGATTTATTTATTTAGGCATACAAAACTGGGGTACAAGTCAGAGGTGCAGGGGCAGTGAAAGGATTCACCAGAGACAGAATGGAGAGCAGAACAGACAGATCGACAAAATACACTGCTGAGGGGAGCAGCGGGCAAGACAGGAGAGGTCTGCTGCGCCAGGTGGGTCAGCTCCAGGACGGGGATCAAATGCACACTGAAGCAGCTTCAGCCAGCTTGTAGTGCAGCGTTGTGCCACCAGGGAGGGCTGAGCTTGCTCTATTTTTATAAATAATGATAGGACTCAATTATCTACAGTGACTTGACACACCTTCAGCTACAATGACCTGACAGTCTGGATGGCTTCTCTGGGTGGCTCCAACTATTGGCTATCTTCATATCCCCATGACAGTACAAAGCTGCTACACTTCTCAGTCATTTGGCTTCATCAGCCTGTGGTCTTGACTACTTTACTTATAGTCTTCTTAACCATGGAATCCTGTAAGGCTATAGTCTTGATAGCAAGCTCAACCGTGGCTGCTACATTTAAAAATGAAAATGCAGCTCTTCCTGCCTCAATCCTCTAACTAAAAATCATGTCATATTTGCTATTATGAAATAGACTTTTTTGAACAGGGAGGCCTTTTTTGTTTGAAAAGTATCACTTTATTGACCATACCCTCACCGGCCTTCCTTGAAGTTGGAGAAAGCTATGCTACCTGTTCCTTGATTGATTATAACTAGAGCAAAAAAGTTCCCAGGAGCTACTTCTAAAAATATTTACTCTAGTTATAACAAACCCTACCCCAAGGAGCAAGCCTTTTCCTTTCATAGAATTTTCTTTTTCTTACCTCCAGCAACTTGGTCATTTTTGTTCTGCTACCACTTAAACATCAGTAACTAGTTCTTAGGAAAACAGATATTTTTTAAAGTCTAAAAAGATGTCCTTGACATATACCCAGGTAAAAAGCAGCATCTGGTTCTTGTACATATGTGACAAAGCTTTCAATACTCTTAAAGTTCTTAGACCATTTTAAAAATCTTTTGATGCAATTATGACAGTGGAGAATTCAAGCAGTTGTGGCCTCTGCCATTTATTGAATGGTATGCCTACCCAGCTGGTGTTCGTTGGGACCCTAAACATAACCAGTCTGTCACTGTTTCAGCAGACCAGGCAAAATTTATTAAAAGTCTGACAGAAGCTTTAGAACACTGTAGAAGCTAGTTTTGTGCTTTTTTTTTTTTAATCTCTGTAGCTAATTTTATCCTACTGTAATTTTTATTAATATAGCCAAGAAATAAAGCTGAAATTTTACAACAGCTTATACTATTAAAATCTACTTGTTTGGACTTTCTGATACTGCTGCAAGACCAGAAATTATCCCAAAATATATGTCTCTCTTATCCAAAGTTCCTGAAGCCAACTTCACCGGGCCCACATCATTTAGGCATCTACCAGGAAAGAGTCTCCCACACAGGAGGGATAAAGGCAGCCTTAGCCTCTGCTCAAAAAAAGGGATTTAGGACCATTCAAAGATAAACATGCATTTATCAGCACACTAACAAGAGCAGTGGAACAAGCATTGTTAGTGCTTTTCAGTTGTCACTTTTGGTGAAAGTATATGTCGTGGCTGGTACTCAGTATCCACTAAAACTCCATTTGGTCCATTCAAATCCTGGATTCATCCCTTCCCCATCCCTCTGGCCACATGGTACACTACTTTCCTTGGCCAGCCGCATCGTAACTCCCTAAATTAAGGCTTGTCTGATTGAAAGTGATATTTTTTCCATTAGCATGGCATCCTGATGATTGGTTAGATGCCATCCCATAAAGCAAAATCTGGACAGGGCGGATTTCTGTCCTCTCTTCAAGAAGGTACAAAGGCACATGATGTTCCAGAACATTTTGTTCCTCCTGATTATCATAGTAAGGGATGGGGGTGAGAGAGAGAGAATTGTGGATTTGGGGGTAAAGAGGGGACCCTCAAAGCTCATAACCCTAATTTATAGAACAGTTTTCATCTTAAAAATATGACACATTCCTTATTCCCAGGCAAGCTATAGTCAGACAGATGATGAAAGTAACATGAAAGCTGGTGATGAAGGAGAGCGCTGCACCCACCCACTCAGAGGAGAAGACAGCCTGGCAGCAACCTCATCGGACAGAGGAGCCACCACACGCAGCAGCTCCTGACAGACCCCACCCCTAAAGATGTGCTCTGCTGACTGTAGTGCAGCTAACTTTTTGTTCTAAAATTTATAGTTCCTAGGTATGTGTTTTCAGAAGGAAAAAAAAAAAGACTTCTGTTCCAAGATAACTTATCAGCTACATCTCCTATAACATGGCTCATCCCTGGTTAAAACAAAACCAAACAGTACCACACAGGCTGAATGCCCTTGCTGCTGTGACTCACCATGGCAGTATTAACAGACATTTTAAACCTTGCACATGATATTGAACCTGTTCAGTTTACAATGATAATATTAATACTGTTTATAGCTAGAAGTTTGATTTCTGAGTTCTTTGAGGTTTTAGCAAAACCGTTTATTATACACTGTACATTTTTCCACAGCAATTGGAAAAAAACAACCACTTGCAATTATTCACTAACCCTGGAGGATTTGTTTCCTGAGTGTACAGACTCAGAGCCCCGAATCCAAGAACAGCCTTGGCCTGCAGTCTCTACACTTGTCTCCAAGTCTCTGGGGGCAGTGACTTGGAACAATCACATCGGGATAACCCAGTCTTTGGGGCTTCTTTCCAACTTGGGGTTGTTTTCTTTCAAGATTCTCTGATGAATCAGCCATAGAATTTAGTGTAAATATTTTTTCCAAATAGATATCATATTCAAAAAAGGCAACATTCAAATTATATAGAATCTAGTTTTTAAAAGCAGCACAGATCTTCTTAAAAACTGTGAACTATGTTTTGAAATATTCGTTACTAAAGCTGTTTATAAACCACAGGTGCCATAAGATCCCCAAATGGACTAAAGTTATCTATGCTCTTCCATGGTCTTGTTCCTGTTTTAGCTTTAGGGAGCATGCCTCTAACAGCACTGCTCATTCACACTTTCCCCTATCAGGTTGTTTGGAGGCCTTCAGCTTTAAATGTACAGGCTTAAAGTGCGCTTGCAAACATTCACTCTCCTTTTCTTTCTGAATGTTTATTGCCTTAGCTGGCTACCTGGTGTTCTGCATGCAGCCTTCTGTGGTCATGTGGGAGAAAACAGGCTCTTCTACGCTGACTTAGGATTTTGCACTTAAGGAAAAGCCAGTGTGCAAAAGGACTGTCAGGGAAGGGAGAATGAAAGACTCTGTTTTGATGGTCCTTTACCAGAGTTTTCTTTGGGGTGTGCTGAGGACCTCCTTAGGAATTCTGGAAAAATGAAAAAAAAAGCATCTACTTGTTTCAAGATTTGGTGAAATGAAATCTACAACATATTGAATATGTTATGCTTAAATTGGTAGCTTCTCTGGAATTCCTGTTTTTCCTTTAAAAGAAAGAAGAGAACATCATTTTAGAACAGTGGTTCTCAAAGTGTATTCCTTGGACAAAGCAGCATCTGTGTCACCTGAGAATTTACTAGAAATGCAAACTCTTAGGTTCCACTCAGGCCTATGGAATCAGAAATTCTGAGGGTGGTGGTCCAGCAATCTCTTTTAATAAACCCACCACATAATTCTGATGCATGTTAAAGGTTGAGAACCACTGCTTTTGAGTTAAATTGTATCATCAAATCTCTGAAAAGACCTTATTCAGAATAAGCAAGAAACATTTTGCATCCCCGTCAAAGCTTCAGCAATTCAATTTTGCTTCCAGGGCCAGCAATATTCTTCTCCTTCTCTACCTAGTTTGAAGTTGGTGGGTCCCCAGCAAAGAAAAGATATCCTGACATCTTCAAGATCCCTCCTCAGGAGGCACTAAAATGTTTGGGTTTAGTAAGATGTTTGGCATTTAGTCAGAAATCATCTCAGCTGCTCTTTGCAACAAAATCACTTGCCTTGGGCATGACGAATCTCTTGGTTGCCATTCATTGGGAACCCATTCTATTCGCTCATGTATTTATTCATACTTCCCTCCAGAGAACCAGCCTGATAAATGTCCCTAAGAACAGGCTGATACCAAAGTGGCACAACTGCACAGTTCTCAGATTTCTTTGCACCAGATGGATTTTATTGTGGGTTTTCTTGGTGTATCTTAATGTTCATCTCCTCGCTACTGCCCATCTTCTGTGAAACCACCCATCTCTAGGTGGAGCAGGTGGCCCCTTGGGCCACATATTTAGTACTTAAAAACCATGACACCCCAGCTACCTTCATTGCTGTTGGCTCTAACTCATCGCCAGGTAGTTCTTGAACTCGGAACCCTGGCCCCGTACATGGCATTCAGCCACTGACTGGACAGAGCTGACGTAAGTTGTCACTTGTGTTTTTTCATTAAAATGTTTGTCTAAAGTTTGAACTGTTTTTCTGATATCCTCCCTGGTCATAGCTTTCCTTGCCAATTTCATCACAAGGTTGTTGATACCATCATACAAAGCCATTGCAAGGACTCTGGAAACTGCTGCCGATGACCGGTTCCTGACTAACCAGCCACCTTTTCTTTCTCTTAGCTCCACGTCAGCACTGAGACCAGACTCAAGCACCCCTGTCATGTAACCGAGACAAAATGGCGTGTATTCTTTTGGGGTTTTGTGGTTTTGGGTGGGTTTCTTTCCTTGGCTCTCCAAATTTACTTTTGGGACCTGTTCTAAGTGCAGACCCAGCAGGTTTCACCTGTCCTGTCTGTCCGATAACATTTATATTTCACAAGGAATGTTTCTTTCTTGTTTCACAGAGTCTTGCACATCCATTTCCATCAGAAATGATGGTCTATTAATGAGCACTGGTCTAACACAGCCCAGCCATCTCCCATAACACCATGTCAATGGAGGGAGGGAGGAGGGTAAAGCCCATGGTATGGAATCAGGAATCAGTTGTGGTTGGTCAGGACGGAAGTCGGGGTAAGTTTGGTTGGTCAGAGGGAGATGTGCCAGAGATTGTGAAAATGGATTCTTGAGTGATCTACTATAAGGCAGGGAAGGTTCATTTGTAAGTAGTAACGTGAACTGAATTGCCTAAGAGTGTGGCCTTTGTTGTGATCTACTATGTATTTTCTTCTATGCATGAACCAAACTGTTGCATCATAATTTAGCACTGATGTCTGCTTTTATTTTGATCATCTTCATCCACCCCTATTAGTTCTTGGCTGTTAACTGTAGATAGACCTTGTAAATATGGCAACCTACAGTTGCTGCAGTCACCTTGGTTCAATTCCACACTGGGAGCCACAAATAAGAATTCCACTGTGTCCTCAGAAGAAAGGGCATTTTTACTTTTGAACCAAAAAGAGAAAAAAAAAAAAAAACAGAATCACTACATTTTGAGGCTAATTAACTGTAAGACATTTTTAATTATGACTACTGCAATTTGACACCATTTGAAATAACCAATTCAGAGACACTAAAGATTTCACAATATTCATTGGTATTGTAACAAAACTACTATTGTATGGTTTTTTGTATTGCTGTTAAGTATTGTTTTGTGTGGGTGTGTGTGTGTGTGTGTGTGTGTGTGTTGGAACCTCCTGGGGACATGTTATATTTTGAAGTGATTAAACTATTTAATTGTGTGTCTATATTTTGGAATGGAATTATTTCTTCATTAAAAATGTTTTTAAAAACACTATCTCTTCTGTATTTATTCCTGTGTTTTAATGATTTTTTTTTCCTGAAGCAACTTAGAGTCTTCCCACTAAAGAAGAAAAGTCTGTATTTGCAGCATAAAGAAGTATGGTTTGGGTAATAAGTAAGTGCAGCAAAATATCTCACTTTTTCATGCCTTAGGGGACATGACTTTTTTTAATGGGATACTATTCTGTTGTTCATGGAAAGCATTGCTATTATCAAATGGAGGTGGGTTTGTGAGTGCTAATAACTAACATACTTACTGTATATAAGACTCTGTTATAAGCTCTTTGAATCTATATCTTCTAGCCAGATACTTGGTAAATATTAAGAGTGCAAGAATTTTTTTCAAGTGAAATTTGTGACTTCTGGTTGTGCTAGCACTAGTGAGAAAGGAAAATCTTTGACTTTAATATCAATGCGGTGATAGCTACAAGAATCTAATTATAAGTTCTACTGTGAGAATAAAAACTCATTTCTCCTCTGCAAACTTCTAGGAATCCCGTACAATAGAGGGTTGTGTGTTTTGCCTGGTCAAGGTGACAATTTTTTTACACAACCAATAGAAGAGCTAATGAGTCTAGCCCCATCTCCTCAAGAATGGAATGCTAGGGAACTGACTGGTATGGTGCTGAAAGTCTATGCTCACAGAATGTGGGGTTAATTTTGCATCTGTGAAAATTAACACTCAAGAGACACTAGAGAAAGAAACTAAGATGTTCTGCCTCAACTTCAAGAGCAATTCTTGACCTGACAGGACCACTAAAGGGACTCACACATCCCACCCCCCTTTGTAAGTGAGACATGGGTATGCTCTTTGGTGGCTAGCTAAGTTTCCCTCAGCTGCATCTCAATGCATCATGCCCTCATGTCTTAGGCAATATGTTTAATCTCCCTACTTTAACATTTCCTAAATTTATCTAATTGCAAAAGACACCTGAGGATGTGACTAATTCTGATTTAACAGGTCAAAAGTAGGACAGAGAATCCATAGTATAGTAAGTATCTCAAATGATACTTAACGGTTTGACAGGTTTTAAGAAATGCTATTTCCTTGCTACTCAAAATGTGGTCCAGGAATCAGCTGGGAGTTATTTACAGATGCACAAGCCTGAAACCTGACCTACTGAATCAGTCTACATGGTATCAAAATCCTCAAGGGATTCACCATAAAATATACAAAGCAGTGACCTAGATCCCAGCTTTCATCCTAGCCCTCCAGGATTAGATTCATTTGGGTCCTTGAAGCATAAATGACATTCCCTCACAATACATGCAAAGCATTTAGCAAGGCACCTGGGCATGAAAGTTCCTGACCATTAGCTTCTTGGTTAATTTCCCTCTTTACTTGGTAAAGTTTACAATTCCCACTCATAAAATGAAGGCAATTTTTTTTTCACAAAGCTCACATAAAAATAAAGTTAATTTTTACACAGATATAAAGAAATCTATTCAAACTCAGTAGGAATGAAATGTCTGGGGGATTTAGTGGTCTTATAAACACTAAATCTTGAGACCCTCTAGCTGTCTTTCCACACTCACTCTTACAGAACACTGGCCACCAGTGTTTATCTTTAGATAAAACTGAAAGAACCCTCTAAAGGGAAATCTGAGTAAGACCCAAAAACCCTAAAAAACAATAAATATGATGCAAATGAATACATCCTACAGAAAGCTCACCATGCTAAGACCCCCCACTCTTATAAATGAACCAAGTATAACCAAACGTTAGAGAAAAACCTTTAATGTATAAGATAGAGAACAAAACAAAGAGGCAGGAAAAGAACCTTAGAGGGGAAATGAACCAAGCTAAAGAAATCAGATAAGATAATGTTGGATGCTAAAACAATCAAGCCCATTTATAAAAATGTTTTGTATATAGCATTGAATCTAAAAGGGGAGGTCCTAGTTAGGAGGTGGCTCTCATAAGTTAAGGATCTAGGCTCTTTCGACCTTTTTTTTTTACAAGTTTCTCGAAAACTTGTAAATTTTATTTTGTAGTGTGTTCCCAAAATGGTATAAATGTCCATACTAATCAGGCCTTGGCCTATCTCTGTTTATACCTAGGAAAGAAATAAAAAGGGAAAACAAGAAAAATTATTAGTTTCCAAGCCTTTCAAGAAAAGGGAAAGCAATCAGATTATACCAGATAGCACCCCACCAAATAGCATTGATAAACAATATAAGCACAGGATGCTCATCCACTAGAATCACATATAACTATATTGGGAAGACAAGAGCTAGGATGTGTATTATGTGCATGGTAAAAGAAGTTAAATTCTTATCCTCCATAATGGAGTGTCCATAGATAAAGCCTAAAATGTATAAACAACAGAAGACATATATAGAGCTGTTATTTATATATAAATACTAAAGAAGTTGAAATTAGTTAATTTTGAGAAAGGAAATTTAGTAAGAATGATACTTTTTGGAAAGTAGAACCATAATTTTTATTTTCAAAAAGAGAAAAAAAAAAGCTGTTGAGAGTGATCATTCTTAAGTGTTGGATTTTTTTTTTTATGATTTACTTATTTATGCATACAGAACTGGGGTACAGACTGGAGATGCAGAGGCAGTGAGAGGATTCACCAGAGGCAGAGTGGGGGTCAGAACAAGCAGATTGACAAATACACTGCTGAGGGGAGGAGCGGGTGGGTCAGGAGAGGTCTGCCACTCCATGTGGGTCACCTCTGGGGCAGGGATCCAACTCATGCTGAAGTGGCTTTAGCTTCTTAGTGCTGTGCTTTAATCCACTGCGCCACCAGGGAGGACCCATATTTAGCTATTTTTAAGGGAAATTTTTAAATCACTTAGCTATTTCTGACCTAAATAAGCAGGAGATGAGTTTTCATGTGATTAAATAACTCTTCTAATTGACAGAAAACTCGCATAGATTTTACCCTTTTTCAAGCCATATCAAATATGGCCTCCCTCCATTCATTTTCTCAACTATGCCTTTTTTCCTTAAAAATAAGATTATTGTTACTGTAAGGATTGTAATTTATAGGACCATTTCAAGGTAAATTCAAGTATAAGTTAGAATACTCAGCAGGGCCACTTTAAGCACTTTCAAGAAGTTTCCCCTCCTTCCTTTTCTACTTTAGGTCATTAGTATTGCCTCTCTGCCCCAAATTTATAAACATCTTAAGGTCAAAATTCCATATACCTACCCTCTTTTCTTCTTTCCCTCTTTCCCTTTTCCCACTCTCTCTTCTTTTTCTTTTACTCTTTACTGCCAAATTCCAGATTGGGGTGAGGGGAGAAGATTTGAGAGGAGAAGAAGGAAAATAAATTTCTGTAGCTCTTTAAAACTTTCAAAAAGCCTGATTTATGATTTATTTACATTGAATTCTCACAATCCCCAGTTCAGAAATGCTTAGTCATCAAGAAGTATAACCTAGAGCGTTGTCTTTGTCATGAAAAAAATCTGCAGAGAAGGCCAACATGGGAAGCACTGAGCTTGCCACCAAGAAAGAAACAGAAGGAAAAACACATGGAATTCTCCACTGATGAGAAGATGGTGTGTTTCAGGGGCAGTTGCAGAAAGCAGACTTCGCCCTCCATCCGGGACTAAGTGGGCTCCAGATCAACCCCTACATCTGGCAGCAAACAAGATGATGTTTTATCCAAGGAGTTATACTGTTCTTGGCTTTGGTTTAATTCCTGCTGCTGTCTTCTGGTTGTCTTAGCAACACATACTAGATTTGGGGGGAAAAATTGTTTTAAACATTATTTGAGCTAGTAAAGAAGAACTGGGTATCTAGGGAAAGATGAAAAGAGATTTTAGAACCTGATTTTTTCCTAAGACATCAGATAATAAAGCAAGCCTGTGACGCACAAGAAGAATTACCTACTTTCCAAAACAACCCCCTAAGACATAGTGGATAACAGTTTGGAGGAATGGGGCAGGTTTTCTTGTAGAACATTGGCGAAACTTAGAGCAGGATGCTCTTGCCTGATTCAAAGCCAATCAGGAACAATAACCCTCTGAAAAACAAAATCCTTATAGTCATCTTAAAATGCTGCCTGTTGGGGGTAAACATTTGAGAAAATTACTATTACTAAGACACAAGAAGCCTACATGGTAGAGAGAGATTCAAATATTTTAACAGGATAAGAAGAGCATACTTTTGCTGGAAAATTAAACCAAGGCTAAGAAAAGATAATGGAAACTAATGAAAATTTGAGCTCCCTGATACCCTCAGCAAACATACTTGTTCCGTGGCAGAAACCATGAAGGTTTCTGTGTTATGAACACTGAGCAACGTAAGGGACAATCTTCATTTTTTTTTTTTTCTAAAAAAAGCACAAAGTTGTTCTCCATATGCCACTCGGTATATGCTAAATTCCAAGTCTGTGATGTAAGTAGTGTAAAGCCAGCAGAGTATATCCCAAGACTGTAGCTTTATTTCGGCCTGGTCGAATGAATAGATAAAACTTTGCAAATATTTGCTTGTTTACTCATTTGCTTACCAGAATCTAAGCCCTCCAGTAGAGAGAGAGGTAAATGAGCAGATGCTGTCCTCATTTGGAACCTCACCTACCCTTATGTCTAAGAGCAAAGTGGACACGCAATAGACATTACTCAGGCTACTCTTCTAAAAAATGGTCATCATAGCCAGGATTTTTTTTTTTAAGATTTATTTATTTATGCATACAGAACTGAGGTAGAGGTCAGAGGTGCAGGGACGGTGAGAGGATTCACCAGAGCCAGAGTGGGGGGCAGAACAGGCAGATCCACGAAATACACTGCTGAGGGGAGCAGCGGGCGGGTCAGGAGAGGTCTGCCGCGTCACGTGGGTCACCTCTGGGCAGGGATCAAACTCATGCTGAAGTGACTTTAGCTTTTTAGTGCTGTGTTTAACCTGTTGTGCCACCAGGGAGGGACCCATAGCCAGGATCTTTAATGAAAACTTTGGATTAAACTAAAGTCTACTTGGTTTAAACACTGATTGAAAGTGCAAATTTGGTTGAGGCCACCTGTGTGTTCTCAAGCTA